CGGGAGAAGGATGGGCAATTTCCTCCTGTGTCTGAAAATCGGCTGCAGGGTCAGCTGTGTGTCAGTTATAACTCAATGGTACACAACAACATCATCAACTAGGATTAGCATACAAGAAAGGAATTATTATAACATATGGTGGGTTGGGTTTTTTTAAACATTTTTCTTTTTATTGTGATTTGAGTGAAAGTTTACAGAATTGGTTTTCTATTTAACAATTTATATACACTTTGTCTCATGATGTTAATGATGATATCCAAAATGTAAACAAACTCTTATTTCCTCCTTGTGATTTGTATTTCCCTTACTCCTTCTGTTATAACCTACTCCTGCTTTCTGAGCTTTATCCATGTACAAAAATGCTGCCTTTTGATGTTTCGTGATCATTTGAAGGAGTGTATGCCCCCTCTGGTGTTACTGTTCACCTCACAGCCTTGCTTAGTGTTTGGCTGAAAGCCCACAGGGTTGAATTCTATTCTAGGTTTGAAGGGTGAGGAAGGATTGTAGTCTTAGGGGTTCTACCAGTCTTTATCAGACTTGTTATTTACCACTGAGTCAGAATCAACTCAAACCTGGCCCTTCAGTGGGTTTTCAGCGGCATCATATAGCCTGGGAAGAGACTGCTCGTCTTTATTCCACGGAGTATCTGCCTTTGAGTTGGCAGTGAAATTCCTTACTACTCATTTTTATGTTGGTTTTTTCAGGATTGTTTTACATTTTGATTCATTTTACCCAGGACCTTGTACTGTGATGATTTTTAGAGTGATCAGCAGCAGTAGGTGGGCACAATTCTTCTGATCTTGGGGTCATGGAGTGGTTTTGATGGGGGATGGTGAAACTGCAGAGACAGATTTGAGTTCCAGGCTTAGGCATTCTGACTTTGGTAACAGATTATGTACAGGAAAAGACAAAAAAGCTTTTAGCAAGGTGAAGGGAAAAAGAGAAGTGAGTTGGCATTGTTCCAAAGAATAATCTGGCAGTAATTTAGGGATAAGGTAGAGGAAGGAAGGGTGATGGAAGTTTAGCACAAGGGAGATTGAAATTATAGCTAAGAAGGGACATATTAGGAGGAGGATACCAGAATCATAAAGTAAAAATAATATAAACAAAATTTAAAAATAGCAACAAAATTCCAAGATGAAAAAAAGGACTGAAGTAGGGGGCCAATGAATACATGGAAATTTAGTTATAATGGTGTTTAAATATATCAATATGGTTGTTGTTGATGTGTATTGTAGATTCAGAACCAACCCACAGCTGAGACTTCAGCAAGCTTTCAGAGCAAGTTAATCACACAGGAGAAGATTGCCCATCCTTCTCCAGTGGAGCATCTTGTGGATTTGAACCCCGTGGCTTTGGGATTGCGGTACAATTACTTGCCACTCGCCCACTACAGCCCCCTTTAATGTGGTTAGTGTATTAAAAAAATTAGGACTATTGATTTATTCATGTAGAGTGGGAGGAGCAAGAGAGAATGAAATGGCCCATCATGGCACTTAGACTGGGTAGGAAACAAAAGAGAAACTGCTGAACAGGTGTAGTAAGAATGAAGAATATGGATGGATTTGGGTTCACACTAACGTGGCGGCTTCCCCTAAGGTCTGTGATCTTGACATGTCACTAACCATCTAATTCTGTTTTCTCATCTAGAATACGGCATTTCCCACTATTGATAGCACTGTTAACATTTATAAGATTTGACACACCATTTACTCTGACATATATAAATGTCCATTTGGTAGTTTTTGCTTTTTCTTTTCAGAGTTTGGGAGACTGGCGGGCATCTAGGCGGACAGATGATGACATTGTAGTCTTCAGCAGCTCAGGAGCTGGCTTTAAAGTTACAATGATAAGGGGGTGTAGTTTTCATGGTTTTATTTAACAATAATAAGTGGATGACATTTCCCCTGCATTGTTGAATGGGATAAAAATTTTAACAAGGCCAGCTATTTTTTTTAAGGCCAGCTATTTTTTATTAACATACTTAATATATTTATCAAATAAAACCACCTATGAGATGAAGGAAGTTCTTTGTAAAGTTGTATTTAAAAACAGTCATTCATTCCGGATTTAGTCAGGTTAAAGCCCCAACTAAAAATAAGTTAATTCTAATCACAGTAGCAACAATAATGATTTAAATTTTTTTTAAAAAACCTTCAAAACCAAAACTTGTTATTAATGATTCCAGAACCCTAACCCTTATACAATGTCGTTTCCTCACAGGCAATTAAAATAAAAACACCTTAAAGAATTACAATAGGCTTTTACCAATTGTTAGTTTAAAAATCCCTCAAACAGAAGCAAATAGAAAGACAAGCCCAAGATCCTGAGACCCACAAGTGGATATACTTGTAATAATTTGAAAATCAGTGCTTACTTAATACGATATATCCTTTGCGTGGAAGAAAGTGGATTTTACATAATGATTTTCACTCAAGCTGTATGCAGTACTTTAAACATATATATTTGACACAAAGAAAGTGTTAGATATTAACAGTGAATAAGGTGAATTCTCTGGACTATGATGTCTTAAAAAGAAGTTTTTATTAGTAAGGCTAAGGCACTATATCCTCCCCCTGACCTGATATAGGCTTGTGTAATAATTTATATCAAAGAAGTTAATCTTTTGTGATGTTAAGTATATCTGAAGAGGCATGTTAAGCCTCACATATTTCCTTGGCACTTGACAATGCAAGAAGAAAGCATTCCTCAAACCAAAGCAAGAACTTCTATCAAAACTTTGGGAATATGTTGCTAGTTTCTTACTAAAACATGTAACTCCAAACTCACTGCCAATGAGCCAATTTAGTAGAGTCATTGTGACCCTCCCTTGGTTTCCACTGAGGCTGGAAACTTTAATAGGAGGAGACAAAATTTGTCCATTCTTATCCTACAACTAAAACTTTCTTTTTCTCTCATGTCTCACAACTCTTTGATAAACAACTAACTGTGCTTGAAGGCCAAATTCTGTCCTCTGTCTTTTTTTGCCAATAAAGTTTTATTCTGACATTGCCACATCCATTTGTTTTCTTACTGACCATAACTGCTTGTATGCTACAATAACAAAGACCTTATGGCCTTTAAAGCTTAACATATTTAGTCTCTAACCCATTACAGAAATTGTTTGCTGGCCTCTGATTACATGGTGATAATCTGGCCTTTGTGGTACAGCTATCAAAACCAGACTTCAGTAAGAGGTCTGGTCAGGGGCATCTATCATCAAAGACAAGTCAAGGAGAATAGGCATTTTGCCTATGACTTTTGTTCACAAACAATGTTAGGCACATATTATGATCCAGCCATCATGCTAAGTAAATCAATGGGAGATTTACTTTGGTGATTGAACTAAAAGATTAAAAAATATGAAAGATAAAGTTTCAAAAACTGGCTAACTATGCTCATAGTTAGTCAAAGGAGGTTGAGTGACTTTTCATCCAGATTTTCCCAGAACAGGTAATGTCTTTGCTATATTTTGGTTTTAGTATGACATGGATAATTAAGTTATGAATGATTATGCTTTTGTTGTTGTTAGTTTTTGTTGAGTCTATTCCAATTCATAGTGGTCCCAAGTGTGCAAAACTATTCCGTAGGGTTGTCACAGACTGTAAGTTTTTGGAAACACAACACTAGACTTGTCTCTCTAGGTAACTCTCGATAGGTGTGTTTGCTAAACCTTTGGCTAGTCTGGTGCTCAGCCATACATATCACCCAGTGACAGATTATGTTTGTAAACATGGCTTAATTGTTCTATCAAAAAGATTTTTAAAAAATCCTTATTTTCAGTGGAATTTTCACTTTGGAATTAGAATTGACACAATAGCAGTGGGTTTTGGTTTTTTTGGGGAGATCTTGTTGAGAAACTAGATTATTACACTCATTTTTCATTTGAATCTTTGTTACTTGTCTGCATACTTTATGCCTAGTGCACTGTTAGGTGTGAAGAACTACATCATTTTACTTGTCAGGCAATCATTTCTCCCCTATGTACCCTTATTTCGCCGTAAGTGATTGTCAGATCCCTCTCTCTAATAGCAAGAGGTTCAGTACAGTCTAGAATTTCACAACACAATTTTTGGAGAAAGAGAGATGTTATGTGCCTGCTCAAACAACCCAGGTTATTATCTGCAAGGTGATGTGTAGGCTCCAGTTACTTGAGTTCCCCAGTTGAGCTCCAGGAAAGGACGATACTCCAAAAGTCACAGATCCTCTTCAAAGGAATTTAAGAGTGAAGAAAACAGCAGTAGGCAGTCCCAGGGTGGAGATGAAGGTGATGGTGGTGTTGGTGTTGGTGGTGTTGAAAGAAGCCACTTGGAGCTGTGTTTAACTCTCAAAATGAAAGTTAAATGAAGAAATAAAAGATAAAACTTCCAAATCCTATCGTGCACACCTTGTGAGCTCTGGCTATGAGGTGTTCTTCATGTTCCTTTGTCTCAGAAAAGAAAGCAAACACAAAGCACAGATCCTTCGTAAAAAGATGGGATCCTGCTACCTCCTTTTTGTCAAGATAATAGTGATAAATGAGCAGCAAAATAAGGATTCTATTTGGAAATAAAAAAGGATTCTGGCATAAATAAAATCAGAGGTTCTTTCTGTATCTGTCAGTATTTTTGGAATCCCTTACATCACACCCTGGCACAGGTTGTAGGTGGTGCAACAGTATCTTCGTATCTTCAGGTTCTGTGGATTAGCTTCATAGTATCAGATATTATTGTAAATTTCCTATAGAATATATGTTAGCATTTCACAAACCTCAGGATTTTGATTCTTTTAACATATTCCAGACACAAGAAATTAAACTGTATTTTAGGTGTTTACAGAACTATTAGTTTCAGATAACAATTTCACATGATTTAGAGGTCATAAAAATTATACTAAGACATCAATTTCATTTCCCCATGTACTTCTTTGCAAATGTAAAACAATGTCAAGTTTTATAATCTTTTAATCACTCATATAACAGCTATATTTTTGTTTTGGTATATCTCAAAGATGTAATTCTTTTAAATTATAAATGACTTTGTATGCTTGAAATCCTAGGGAGAAAAAGAGAAAGTAAAGTTTAAATATTATGTATTAATTAATACTTAAATAAAAACAAAAATCTTATGAATATAAACTTATTCTCTATCGATAGATCTAGTGAGCATGATATAGGTATAAGTCAGCATATACTTAATTTAAACTATTTTATTAGGAATTAATAAACACTAAATACTTTTGAAACTTAGTGAAAAAAATGTAAGGTTGAAATTAGAGAAAAATCTTGTTTGTTAAATTTGATCTCCACTTGTTTTGTTTCATTTGTAGATTTATTTGCGTAGAAATTTTATACATGAGCGATTCAGATATATATGCAAAAGGGACAAAATATTATACCAAGAAGTCATCTATGACACTGTAGGCTGGCTTCTCAATTCATATCCCAATCAATCCTTCTCTAGACTTTTTCCTACTTTATGAAACCAAAAGCACTACCTTCAAGTCAATTGCACCTCATGGTCACAGTCCCTCCTCTCATTTGAGTTTCCAAGGTTGTAAATCTAGAGAAGCTTGCCTATTTTTTTTTTCTTGGGAAGTCTGGAGGTAGCTATGTGTCATAGTTTAACAAACTAGATTCAAATACGAGGCATATACGGTATTTTGTTTTGGTAGGCCCTTTCATCAATAATAGGTGTTTATTTCCCTACTTGGAGTATAAAATTCCTGTGGCAGAAAAAAGGAATTTAATTGTATACTAAGTTGTGTATTTAAACACAGGGAGAATTAAAAATGTCATAGTCATCTAGGAATGCTAGTCTCACTTCTAAATTGCATAGATTCAGCAACAATTTGGGAATCTCACCACCAGCAAAAAGACGCAAAAGAATACAGTGCACTTTGGGGACAGGGATTCTTGCACCACTCAGACCTACCAGAGAGCAGCAGCAGCAGCAGCTGAAGCAGAGAACCAGAGTACCCACATGAGATGGAGCTGACCTTGGTATGCTATCCCATAGAACCAAAGATTTTGCCTGCACCTGTTGGACAACTATGGGGGAGAACAATACTTGGCAAGACTAAGCTTTATAACACTGGCCTATAGCTGTAGTGAGGTTGAAGGGGGAGGTACCTGTGAGCACATTTCAGCAGCTGTCTTGACTGAGTGACTGTATTCTGCTATTAGACTGAACTACAGTCATTTGACTTCCTTAATATGGTTCTGTGTGATCTGTGAGCCATTGCAACAGATGATGGACACAGCAAAGCAGTAAGATTGCCACTGGGATGAGCAAAAGAGGAGTGAGTGGGAGGAACATGTCTGACCCCATGGGAATTGGTTTTGTGTTGTGGATGTTGACAAGGACAGTTCTCCTTTGCAGAGTTGGTAAACGTTGCTGTTCCCATGCCACCCTTGCTGTCTTTACACCAATTATGGATGAAGAAAAGGTTTTCTTTATGAAGAAAAGGTTTTCTTTATGAAGAAAAGGTTTTCTTTATAGAAATACTCTAGTGGGTGGGTGAAAAAAGGAAAGAAGTAATCATAAGATCACTAGTTAGCCCTGATCATCAGTGACTGTTAACAAGAGAAAAATCACACTTTTTACCATTGAATCTATTCTAATTCATGTGGTTGTTGTTGTTGTTAAATGTCTTTGAATTTCATAGTGACCACTACAACTCACAGTAGTTACCCTTTGAACAAAAGGCCCAAGGCTTGCCTTATCCTGCACCATCTTCGTAATTTCCATCATGAACATTGTTGTGTGACTGTATCAGACTATCTCTTGAGTAATTCCTCTTTCTCTGACCTTCAACCTTTTGCAGCATGATGCCTTATTCTAAAGACTGACCACTATTGATGGCATGTTCAAAGTAGGTGAGATTAAGATTCACTATCCTTGCCTCTAAAGAGAACTTTGGTTGCACTTCAAAGATGCACTTGTTCCTTCTTTTAGTAGTCCATAGGATATTGATATTGATAGATGTTCCACCAATCTTGACCCCACATTCCTCCTCATAGACCCCAGCCCCAGATAATCTGTTCTGTATACAGGTTGAAAAGGTATGGAGACAGGACACATGCCTGGTGTATGCCCTTCCCAATTTTGAACCATGCAGTGTTTCCTTGCTCTGTTCTGACGACTGACTCTTGGTCCACGTATAGGTTTCTCATTAGCATGATCAAATGTTCTGAGATTCCCATTCTTCTCAGAGTCAGCCACAGTTTGTTATGATCCACAGAGTCAAATGCCTTTGCATAGTCAATGAAACATAGATATACATTTCTCTGGTATTCCCTGCTTTCAGCAAAGATCCATCTAACATTAGCTACAATATCCCTAGTACCACGACCCCTTCTAAACACAACGACTTGGCCAACTGACTGGAAAAAATCTATATTTGTTCCCATCCCAAAGAAGGGTGACCCAGCAGAGTGTGGAAACTATGACCCAGCAGAGTGTGGAAACTATAGAACAATCTCATTAATTTCACATGCAAGCAAGATTCTACTGAAGATTATCCAAAAATGACTGGAACAACACACACACACACACACACACACACACACACACACACACACAATGAAATAGATTGGAAAATTATGGTACATTGACAAGACAGACTACTATGCCGCACACAGGAGCAATAATTTTTTAAATTACTACCTAACTTGGGAGGGACTGGAGAACATTATGCTAAGTGAATGAACTCAGTACCATAATGACAAACATTGTATAAGACCTTTACTGTAGAAGGGTCCAAGGGCAGGGATTGGAGCAGAGAGGACTGAGGATAGGTGGTGGGTGGTGTGGAGTTGCACAATTTGAGGCGTAGAGGGTGGTGGGAAAATCTGGTATCAAAATGTATACAAACTTTGTAAATAAACCAATATAAAATTAAAAAATATTCAAAAGGTAGAAATAAATATATCAACCAAATGGTATCTCAAAATATAAAAAAAAAATGCAGGAGTAGCAGAATAAAAAAGACTTCAGTGTGAACACCAGCATAAAAGACAAGGAAGGACTCTATATAACACTTAAAAGGCACAACAGCATATAATCTTAATTGATATCAATGTACCAGATGACAGAGCTGCAAAAGATATAAAACAAATGTAAATAGATTTAAAGAAAGAAAGAAACACCACCACAGTAGTAGTAGAAGATTTTAACAAATTATTCAAACTGAAAGGCTGGCCAGAGAAAGAAACTCAAAAAAGATGCAGAAAAACTGAAGTATGTAATTGGCCAACTCAATCTCTTAGACATATTCAGAATATTCCACTCAACAAAAACTCAATTCACTTTCTTTTTAAACACACACAGTACATTCTCTAGAACTGGTAATATATTAGAGCACAAAGGAAGCTATAATAAATTCAAAAGCATAGAAGTACTGTAAAATATCTTCTCAGAAAACAATGCCATAAAACTAGAAATTAACAACAACAGGATAAAGTAGAAAAACCTCAAATGCATGGGAGGTAAATGACACCTTACTGGATCACTACTGGGTAGTAGAAGAAATAAAAATGTTACTTGATGCTATATGCAGATGATATTATAGTGTATACAGAAAACTCCAAAGACTCAACCAAAAAAACTGTTAGAGCTAGTTTACCAGTTTAGTACGTAGCAGGATACAAGATCAATATCTAAAAATCAGTGGGATTCCTCTACACTAACAAAGAAAGAAAACACAGAGAAGGAAACCAAGAAAGCAATACCATTTACAATAGCCAATCACAAATTGAGATAGTTGGCAGTAAACCTAACTAGAGACACAAAACACCTGTACAAGGAAAACTACAGAACATTTCTGAGAGACACAATAAAAGACCTAGAAAAAATGGAAAAATTTGCCCTGTTCATGGATAGGAAGACAAAATTGTGAAAATGACAGCCCTACCAAAAGCAATCTACATGATCAATGCAATCCCAATACAAATACCATATTCATTTTTTAAGGAGATCAAAAGGGAAATTGTCAAGCTTATTTGGAAAGGAAAGATATAAGCAAAGCACTTCTGAAAAACAAAAATGAAGTGGGAAGCATAGCACTCCCTGACTTCAAAACTTACTACACAGTGGCAGCAAGGAACTGGCATTATTGACAGGCACACAGACCAATGGAACAGAATCAAGAATCCAGAAATTAACCCATCTAACTATGGTCAACTGATATTCAACAAAAAAATAAAACCTATCAAACGGGGAAATGACAACCTCTTCAACAAGTAGTGCTGGCAAAACTGGACTGCAGAAAGCCGAAATAGAATCCACATCTCATATCATACACAAAAATCAACTCAAGGTAGATCAGAGACCTGGAAGTAAAGCCCAAAACCATGAAGTTAATAAGAGACAAACTTGGACTAAACTTAGAAGGCCCAGCCTACAGTATAAACAGACTGTCAAATACAGTCAGAAATGCATAATCTGGTGAGAATAAAATTGATGAATGGAACTTTCTAAAGAGTAAATTTCTGTGCTTATCAAAAATTTTTCCAACTGGGTGGGGGGAAAAAAGCCTACCAACTGGAAATAAACATTTGGCAATAACATCCCAGACAAGGGTCTTATAACAAAAGTTTACAGAATACTCCTGAATCTCCAGAAGAAAAAGACTGACAACACAGTTACAAAGTGGACAAAAGATATGGAAAGACTTTTCACAGAGGAACACACTCAGGTTGCCAAAAAACACATGAAGAAATGCTCAAAATCACTGGCAATGAGAGATACAAACCAAAACCACAATGAGATACCATCTCACTCCAGTAGCAGTGGCAAAGTTTAATAGGGCAGCAAGTAATAAATGTTGGACAGGATGTAGAGAAGTGGGAACTCTCATACATTGTTGGTGAAATTATAAAATGGTGCAACCACTCAGGAAGATAGTTTGGCACTTCCTCAAAACATTTAATATAGAAACTCCACATGAACCAGCTATTCCATAACTAGGAGTATGCCCAAGGTAATTAGAACTGAAACACAAATGGAGATTTGTACACCAATGTTCATAGCGGTGTTATTCACCATCACAAGAA